AACGCTTCGCCTATGAGAAAAAGGAGCAGCGCATGAACCGAACGAAACACACGTGAATCGAACCGAGACAGTCGAACCGAACGGTTCGGACGGTTTTCATAAACCGTTCCAACACTATAGTATAGTTATATATTATTTTACAAGTTATCAAACCAACAGGCCTATAATTTAGAGCAGCAGCAGGTGGAGGAAGCAGATCATTTCCTGATATAAAGGAGATGGACATTTACAAGTAAAACATCTATAAAAAGGTTATTGGGGGAAAATGGTTTACTGTTTATTTGAGGCAAAAATATAACTATTTAGATGGATCTCTACCATCTCGTCAGCAGCTACAGGCCAACATCTCCCCTATTATGGGAGATCAACCTAAATTAGATTTAATGGACGTGCTGAACAGAAGTGACAGATAAATTCTTCTAACAAGGCTGGAGTATTTACAGTGTAGTAATGATGGAGCTCCTACTGCGCAGCTAAGGACAGAAATTAAAGTTGGAATATTTAAGTAACACTTTGATGATGAAATGAGTTTATTGAACTTCAACACAGTGAAATCAATTTGATTCAATTTATTTATATAGCAACAATTCAATCCTGATTTCTTTTTAGCTGCATAATGGGTTTCATTGCTGGCTGCACACCAAAATAACCTTGTGGTCAGCAATACAGAAATACTGTTAAATACATGCTATGTTTTTGATGTTTTGAAGAAAAGAAAAAAAATAGTCCACCAGAGCAGCACATGGTCTGGCAGCAAAAACATGCATTTGACCTTTAAAAAAAAAAACACGTCAGACCTGAAAAGAAGCGGTGATAAAAGTTAAGGTTAAAATAGGACAGAAAAAGCTAAATTTAAAAGCCTTTACGCTCGTTGATCAGAAACATTTATTTTAGCTAAGAAATCTACCATAGAAGGCTGCCTATACAGAGGGGGGACGGGGGGGGTTCCCCCATCAAATCAAATCTGCCCCCCCCCCCCCCCCTGCCAGTCTGAGCCCCTATTCTAACATTCAATCACCATGTAGGTTACTAATGAGCCCAGAAGTAACCTGGCTGACTATGATGAGACACATTGGAGGATCAGAGCTGAAGGGGTTAAACTATGATGAAGCAGTGATATTCTGTTAATTTATCATAGTGATTCATGTTTCCAGATACTAAACAGAAAAGTAGGAACTATTTTTGTTAACAGGAGAATACTATTCAATTCTTCTAATATAATTAATTAGCCCGTGGAAATGTTAAAGCCCTTTACCTTTGGATCAGCTTCCCTCCTCCTTATTTTAACTAGTGAGGCAGAAAACAGAGCAGCTGCTCAGACAGGTAGATCCTTTTGTGCAAAAATGAACTTCTGGGCTTAAAAACTATAATGCTGCTGAAAACATTTATCCAACCTGTTAACCCCAAACATATGTATACTGGTCTAAACAGAACAAAATCTGTTTTTACACTGTTTGTAAAGAGGTGAAACCCTCACAAAACAAGTAGTTAAATGGGTTTTACACAATAATCAGTGTTTTTTTTTTAGAGCAATCTGAACACAGGAAGGACATTTAAAGGTCCTTTCCACCTCTAACTTAGTGAGAAAAACACCACTAGAAGAAAAACCCTCTCCTTGCTGAAACTCATCATATTTGATATCAGATGAAACTAAAGAAACATTTCAAACTCTGTAGGTTGTCCTTGATGCACCTTTTTTAGAGAAGTACAGGAACTGGCTACATCTGTTCTGTTGTGCACAGAACTAAATGTGAACAGTGTCAGACTCAGAAATCCTGCTTTAGATTGGAAGTTCTGGAGCACTTATTTTTTTTCTTCAAAGTCAACTTTAATAAAGAAACAGAAATTATTATACTAGTTTTAGTGGTTGTTGGTCACATTTTTCATCAAATGATTATTTTTGCACATTTGTTTACATTAATTTTGTTAAATAAAATTGAACTTTTTTGTTTCAGCTAATTATCTTTTTATTTTATGTTTTTTTTATGGTATCCACCTAAGGCTCTATATGCAGATGATTTCTACAATGGAAGTCAACACTTTAATTTGACTACATTTCCTCTTTCATGAGGTGAAAAACACATTTCTTATAGTTTTGGTACATTTGGCTAAATTTTGCAGAAATCACACTGCCTACTGAAGCCTCTGTGGAACTTAAATTAAATGGGTTCTAATTTATTGCAGAAAAAGTCAATATAATGATTTATAAAATGGGTTTCTCTTGGTTTTTAAAAGGTTTTTTCTGTGGTTGAAAACTATTTATTTAGAAAGGGCACAGAAAGAGCTGTTTATTTGTTTTGTGTTTATAAAATGCTTATTGTGGCCAAGGTTAAAGAAATTTATTTAATAAAAAATGACTCAGACAGGAACAGATTAGTTAGTGGTTCCACTAAAAATAGTATTTTTATGTTTTAACTTTGCACAGGTACCAAAGGTTTGCATCGAAATCTGATAATTATGAAGCTATTCTTCATGTATTTCAGTTGTAAATTTTTCCAGGCAGAAATACTTCAAAAAACATTAAAGCTTAACTGGTTATTCATATTTAGTTTGTTGTTGGTTCATAAGTGAAAAATGATATTAGGATAAACTTAAATCACTGAGTAAAATTCAGAGCTTAAACAACAGTGTTACTCTAATTTTGTATCAAAATCCATCAATATTATTACTCAAAGGTTTTAATATTTTTTCGCCCCCAAAACATTTTTTTCAAATGTGTTCTTCCCCAGGATTCTGTTACAGCTTACATATATTTAATCAGTTTAAATAATTTTATTTCAGGAAACTCCATGGGGATGATTTTCGGGGTTATTGCTGCACTTCTGGTTCTGGTTGTTATCATTGCTGGAGTCGGCATCTGGTGGAAGAAGAGGGATAACGGTAAGAAAACCAAAGAGATATTCTACTATCATAAAACTTACTTTACTATTTATTTTCACGGCAGCTATTTTTAGAGGTTGTATCCTTTATAAAAACTATAAATAAATGTTATTCTTTTTTATTTCAGGATTTAAGCAAGCAAATAGTAAGTATTACAAATATTGTCATCCTCTTTTGTCTAGTAATATTAAGTTGATGATGTAACAATTTTAAAGCCAAGTAGAAAAGTTTACCTTTTATTTTGTTTTTAGATTCTGAAACGTCATCTGAAACTTCAGATGATGCCAAGAAAGTAAGTAAATTATGATAAAATATTCTTAAAGTCTGATCCCTTGAGGGTCAGTCTTTGAGTCAATTTTCCACTGGATTTCAGAAGTTTTTTTGAAAATATAAACTAAACTTGTACCTCATTAAAAACAACAATTTGTCAACAACTTTTTTAACAGATGAACCCCGAAGGAGAAACTTTGATGGAGGTAAAGACGGATGGCTGAATTCACAATGAAAAACAGGCTGAGGAAAAGTCTGTAAATCACAACATCAAAAAATGTAAATGACTAAGAATTAATATCTTAATGTTTCAAACTTCTGAGATTTTTCATTTTTTGCAATCATGCTTTAGTGCTGTCATTTGGGATTTAGTTATATGGGTTAATTGAAGATAACAGATTTGTAAAGTCAGATTCATATTTGTCTACAATGACTTTTATCAGATACCATAAACATTCATTATTCATTAATTCTGTTAAGTGAAACTTTAATCAATGTTGTTGTTTTTTTTTGTTCTTAATCTTATCAATGTTGTTTGACATTTTTATCAGGAAAACCTGTTTTCTTATAACAGTTTTTTCTAAGTGGTGTTTTCTTGATTTCTTTAAATGGGTTATTTTTTCTGTTAATACTTTTCTTGATAAAGTTTGTATGTTTAAGTTTATCAATATTATTTTCAACATGAAATTCCTTAAGATATTATTTTCTTTAAACTGTATAATTGAGTGGTTTTTAAGTCAATAAAGGGATTTTAAGGGATTTTATGTGACTTTATTGTTTCTAGAGGTCCAAAGGTTGTTTAAAAACAATCTTTTTGGTTGGTTAGTTTTTCTACAAAATATTTAAAGACCTACATATATTTTTTCAAAAAGTAAAAGTGATTGTTTTTTTTCTCTCGTAACATTATATTTGTATTTTTAACCATTTGTCATTCATTGTTTTTCAACTTTTTTTGAAGTGTAGAAGAACTACAGCATGTGATATTCTTAAAAAAATGGTTTTACTCAATATGTTAAACTCCAAATTTACAAACAGATAAAGTTTAGACTTAAACAAAACTAAGGCGTCTTTTACTGATGCAGCCCTATCTGACCACATTTTTGTTATCCTTGAAAGCATGATATTAAATGACTCAGCTAGAGATATCGTAAGAAAATCCATCTTTAAATGAATAGTACACCCAAAACATGATTAGCCTTCATTTTCTACTCACCCCGGTTTCCGTAGAATCGTGAGCGCGCATGGGGGCGCTATTAGGAAATCCTATACACTACTGTTTATGCTCTAAAACGTTCTAAATCACTTCGTTTCGAGTAAATTCTGGACGCTACCCACTCAGGACACTTGGAATACATTGGACGAGCAGTATGGAGGAATATTGACACGTTTTTGTGGACTTTTATGGACCTTTCTGTCTCGGGCGCCATAGACCTCCATTATTTGAATGTCAGCAGACAGCAAGAAGCCTCCCAGATCTCCAGATGCATTTGAGATATCAAAAAGGTACTCCAGAGTTTTGTTCAGCATGGGGGTGAGTAGAAAATGAAGGCTAATCATGTTTTGGGTGTATTATTCCTTTAAGGATGGCACTGAAGCAAGGAACAAACAAAAAGTGGCTGAGACACTGATATCAGGCGGTTCTTATGTCCCTCATTTAAACAAAAGGATCCACTATCCATCAAATAGTAGTGCTTGTTGACTTAATCAAAGTAAAAAAAAAAAACCTAGAATAACATCCAACATATAACTTGACAAACAATAATAGTGGTAAAAAAATAGAAAATACGGCCCACTCACTCTTCAATGATATCTGAACAGGTGAGTAATATGCCCAATTATAAATCTCTGTCCCTATCTAGCTGACCCTTACATCTAAAAACCATAACAGCTCTAAACCAAGACAAATGAACATCAATTTACCCTTTCTCTTATGGCTACTACAGATGCTGATACTGAATTTCTAAATTTCAGTATCTAATTCTAAAATCTCAGTCATCATTGATTTATTTTCTCCAGTCAGTTTGTTGGTGGACAAAATATCTCTAGACAAGTGATCCACCAGTCAGAAGTGAAAAAAAGAATGTCGAAAAGCTGAATGCAGATGGCAAAACTGAACTCTTAGAACTTTAAACCATGTGCCATTATTTCTTTATCTGGCCCAGTGGATTCTGCACAGTGCACCACGTTGCTGGCATCACCGAGTGCTGCTGCTCTGCTCTTAAAATCAGAAGCTGCAGTTTACAAACCCATGTTTTGCATAGTCATTTTTTTTTCTTTATAGTTACAAAACCTCATATAAACTCATTCACAGCATTTGTCTGTGAGTATTTATCTACTGTGGTATTTTGCTTCTTAGACTTAGACAGACTTTGTTTTTACACACCGAGAGTATATGAAGGCATAATACCAGAGGCAAAGCCAGAAAATTTTTGTAAGGATGGCCAGGCAATAACCAATGTACACTGAGGGGTGGCCGAAAGTGGATAGACGCCAAAACCTCAGAGTCAATGTTCCAACAGGAAAATTAAAGAACAAAACATTCATATTTTCTAAATAAAGACAAACTACTTTCCTACAACCTTTGCTTTCAAATAGATACATATATTTAAACATTTGTGCTTTCTAGATAAAAGTTCTTTCAGATTCGAGTTCTGGGGCAAACATCTTTTCCATTATCATTACTTATATACTTTTATCAATAATCATTCTGCATAAAATGTATATTTAAAAGTACTAAACACTACATAAATTGATTATTTAATACGTTTACAATTTTTTTTATTTTTTGCAATCATGCTTTAGTGCTTTCATTTGGGATTTAGTTACAACAGATTTATAAAGCCAGAGTCAGATTCATATTTGTCTACAATGACTTTTATCAAATACTATAAACATTCATTATTAATTAATTCTGTTAAAGCTACAGTGTGTAATTTTCAGCGACATCTAACGTCCAGACTGCAGACTGCAGCAACA